AGTAAAATCCAAGATGGGATTAGATGTGACAAAGAACACTTGAGAATGATGGAGAGAGGAGAAGAAGACTGTAGCGAGTCTTCAGAGCTTGAGTCAGAATTGATGCCTGTGGTGGATATCAATGGACAGCAACCTAGTTTCAGTGAAGAATTACTAGTGAAAACTTCTCACCCCCTGGCAGAGTTTCTCAAATCTCAGGAAACTTGGCTCGCCTTATCCTTCCTGCCTCTATAGTCCTTAAAGGGGAGAAGCATCTTGAAAGTGTGGCCCTAAGATATAGACTGTATTGGATTCAGCATGCAGCACAGGTGAACACACCTGAAGCAGTTTGAATGAGAATGACCCCCATAGACTCATATATTTATATGCTTGGTCTCCAGTTGGTGGAATTGTTTGAGAAGGATTAGGAGGTGTGGCCTTGTTAGAGGTGTGTCACTGGGGGGTGGGGTGGGCACCGAGGTTTAAGAGGCTCTAGGCCCAGTATTGCTCTCACTATATCCAACTTTGGATAAAAATGTAAGCTCTCAGCTACTTCTCCAGCACTATCACTGTCTGCCTCCTGCCATGTTCCCTGACATAATAGTCATGAACTAACTCTGAAACTGTAAGCAAGCCCCCAGCTAAATGCTGTCTTTTATGAGTTGCCTCAGTCATGGTATCTTTCCCAGCAAGAGAACAGTAACTTAGACAACACCATCTCAAAAGCACATCTATGTGGCATATTCTTCATTTTTAAAATGCTTGGGAATTAGAGTACTTTCTAAAACAAAGCCTACCACTTGTGTAAAGTACTTTTTACAAGGAATTCAAAATGCATCTATTATTACATGTGATTTCATAAGTTATTCATGTCATTTGAAAGAAATAATCCATGTGTAGTTAAAAATGTTAATTTGAGCTTAGAGATTCTCATTAAGAGGACTTAAATGGGTAATAATTACAGGCAACTTGCTCATAGTGACTTAAAACCTTTGCAGTGATCTGGAATGGGACTATACTGGGTGGTATGTGTCCTGACTCTGCCTCCTTCTAGCACTGGTTTTAACAGGATACTTGACATCCTTAGTTTCAATCTTCTCGTAGGTAGAGAGAAGGATTTCTCTCTCAGATGGGTAATCCTATAACTTTATAAACTAGAAGGAACTTTGTGCTGTCAAAGCAGGGTATATTAAAATGAATGAGATACATTAATGTGATGCTTTTTCTTCTTGTATGTGGATTTGTGTCTGGTTAAAAAATACCATGTTCTCATCCTTTCTGTTTGAAAATAGGCGTAGGTATATTTTTTTCTTGAAATTAATATAGTGATATTTATCAGTATTGTTTATGTCCACCTGACACATTTATTCCAGAGCTTCAAGAAGATTTGTACAAAAACTCCTGTGAGGACTCCTTCAGCCAAACATCATTTTAAATGCTGAATTAAAAAAGTATCATCTTACTCTAGAGCAATTACAAAAGTCACAATACAATTATTACATGGACTGTTCTAAAACCACAATTAATAGAAGTATGTTTTGGAAAAGAAGCAATGATAGGTTATGTGAGAATAGGAGGGTTAAATGCTGTTTTCAGTGTTACTCAAAATTTGTTTTAAAAATATGTAGATAAACACTGGGAAAAACTTCACATATTTGCAGTTCTTGTGGGTAGCAAAAATTATGGATGCATTTATTTTTCTATTTACATCTCTTTTTAGCTTCCCAAATTTTGCAATAATCAGTAATAATTTACTGAACAATTATTTTTAATGATCAGTTACTGGAATGAATAATGAATATGACCAAACTCTTTCTTTACATGTTGAAATATTTTTGATAAAATGGAGCTGGAATAAATGATCAAACAAGAACATGAACTCATTTAAATTTAAACTATATCTTAAATATAACACAGACACATTAGAAATAATGAAATAAATGAATTGGAGTATTCACATGCATGACTCTACATCATTTTTCCTAGCATGCTATTCAAAATATTTGTTCTCTCTACCCAGGGTTTATTTTGGAGATTATTTAAAAGCTATACATGAAAGTCAAGTCCCTTTTAAAGAAGTAAGACTAATTAATTTCTTTATTTATATCTGTTTTAATTGACATGTTAAAAGCTTGAGTATAGTTCATACTTTCAAAGCTCCCCATGTGACTTTTTGATAAATCTATGCAAGAAGTCAGGGTAAATATATCTATCCTCACATTTATTGTCTAGATGAGAGTAAGAAGTTATGGTGTGCTGTTGTAAAGTAGGTTAGCTATAGATGATGATAATGCAGTGTATATTTAAAACAACTAGAAGAGAAAGTATTTTCAATGTTGGCACTGAAAAGCCCATTCATTTTCTTCACGGTTTAAAATTCAGTCTCTCAGTGCAGAGCCTCTGCCTATACGTCAACCCACTCATCACTATGTTTAAGGGACATTTCATCTACAGGGCAATAAAAGTTCCTGAATCTTTTGAATTTAAATTTCTAATTTAAGTACGTCAGAATTTAGTCTCATTTATAGTAATATTTTCTAATCTCTTTTATCCAGGTCATTCACAGTGTGAGGTCGCATTTTAGGTCATATAAAATTTTTAGTTTGAAGAAATGAGATATCTCAATTGAGTTTGCTATTGAGATAGCAAGCATCTCATTATGTAGCCCAGGCTGGCCTCAAACTCAATCTTCCTGCTTCAGATCACTCAGTATTGGATTCCAGGCATATATGGTCCTATTTGGCTAACAGAGTAATCTCTTTGATAAGAACATTATATTGACATATATGTTCACTGACTTAGCTTGGAATGAGTGTATTGGTTTTATATGGATACTATAACAAAATGTCCTAAACCAGTGGTTTTAATATTTAAAAAGTCATTCTATCAGAGTGCTGATGATTAGAAGTTTGAAGTGTAGGTATTGAAAGAGTTAGGTTCTCTCTGAAAACTCTATTGTAGAATCTTTTCTTACTTCTTCTGCTACCTAGTGTTTGCCATCAATGAATGCCATTCTTGCCTCAAATACATATGCTATCTGGCTGTAGTCACATACCACTTTCTTACTGCTGTGTGTCCTATCCCATGTCCAAAATCTCCTTTTCTGTAAGGACTGGAGCACAGCACAATGACTGGATTTTAAGTTTTTCCTCTGCTATGGCTCCTTCCCCAAATATGTCACATTGTATGGCAAACTATTGTTTCAAAATCTATCTTTTGAGGGGAAATAATTAACCCATAAAAATAAAATAATACTAAAATATTAATTATGGTTAGTGAAGATAAATAATTAAGGTGAAATTAAAAGGCAGTAAAGGCCAGGTGAAATTATCTATATTTTACATCAGGAAAAAACGAGGGAAATCTCCTTATAGCAAACTTCATTGATGATTATGATTCACAATGATAAAATATTGTTGACTTGATCAGTCCCCATTCTTAAGCTGTTAAGACTCTGGTATTTCATTTATCATAGTATCTTTTCTTTCTCTCCCACTCTGTTCCCATTCCAGTTCAAACCTCCCACTCCCCTAAGCTCTCATCCCCTATCCCTTGCCATCCATTACCCCCTCACTCCCAGTTTGCTCATGGAGATCTCTTCTATTTCTCCATCACTGGGCAATTCATGCATCTTTCCTAGGGTCCTCCTTACTAGCTAGCCTCCCTGGAGCTGTGGGTTGCAGTCTGGTTATCCTTTGCTTTATATCTATTATCCACATATGAGTTAGTACATACCATGCTTGTCCTTTAGAGTCTGGGTTACCTCACTCAGGATGATATTTTTTAGTTCCATCCATTTGCTTGCAAACCTCATGATATCATTGTTTTTCTCTGCTGAGTAGTACTCTATTGTGTATATGTACCACCTTTTCTTTATCCATTCTTGAGTTGAGGCACATCTAGGTTATTTCCAAATAATTATTACAAATAATGCTGCTAGGAACATAGTTAAGCACGTGTCCTTGTGGTAAAATTGAGCATTCCTTGGATATATGCTCAAGAGTGTTATAACTGGGTCTTGAGGAAGACTGATTCCCAATTTTCTGAGAAACCACCATACTGATTTCCAAAGTGGCTGTACAAGTTTGCATTCCCACCAACAGTGGAGGAGTGTTCCCCTTGCTCCACATCCTCTCCAACATAAGTTGTCTTCAGTGTTTTTGATCTTAGCCATTCTTACAGGTGTAAGATGGTATCTCAGAGTTGTTTTGATTTGCATTTTCCTGATGACTAAGGATGTTGAGCAATTCCTTAAATGTCTTTCAGCCATTTGAGATTCTTCTGTTGAGAATTTTCTGTTTAACTCTATAGCCCATTTTTATATTGGACTGTTAGGTATTTTGATGTCTAGGTTCTTGAGTTCTTTATATATTCTAGATATCAGCCCTCTGTCAGATGTGGACACCATGGGAATAGGGAGAAACAGAGTTCTAGTGAGGTTTCCAGGAATCCACAAGGATGACTCCACCGTGGACTTCTACTGGTAATAGTCAAGAGGGTGCCTGAGCTGGTCTACTCTGGTGATCAGATGGCTGAATATCTTAACTGTCATCATAGAATCCTCATCCAGTGACTGATGGAAGCAGATGCAGAGATCCACAGCTGGGTCCCAAGCTGAGCTCCAGGAGTCCAATCGATGAGAGAGAGGAGGGATTCTATGAGCAAGGGATATCGACACCATGACTGGAAAAAGTACAGAGACAACTAGCCAAAGTAGTGGAAACACATGAACTGTGGACCAATAGCTGAGGATCCCCCATGGTGCTGAACTAGGCCCTCTGAGTAAGCAAGATAGTTGTTTAGTTCAAACTGTTTAGGGGTCCCCCAGGCAATGGGATCAGGACCTGTCTCTAGTGCATGACCCAGCTTTTTAGAGCCTAGTACCTATGGTGAGACACTTTGCACAGCCTTGGTGCAGGAAGGAGGGGCTTGGATCTGCCTCAACTGAATGTACCAGGCTCTGTTGACTCCTCAGGAGACCTTGCCTTGGAGGAGGTGGGAATGGGAGTGGATTGGGGGGTGAGGGCTGGGGGATGGGAGGAGGGAGGATAAGGGAATCCATGGTTGGTATGTAAAATGAATAGAAAATCTCTTAATAAAAAACATATTACAAAAAGACACTGGTATTGTAAAGCTTATTGAATTTCTATAGACATATCACAAAGTCACTAAAACAGTAAGAGTTTTACCTTTGAACAAAGATCTACTTGATGAATGAGTCAAATTCTTCAATTAGGAAACGAGTCTTAAGGCAAGCTACCATCATTACAGTGGAAGTCAGTGTTCTCTGAGGAAGCCTTCTGAGTCAAAAACTTCAGTGCATAACTAGAAAGACAAATACTCAGACCTCACTGACCATCATTTGGGTCACAAATTGTATGGGAGTGGCCAAGAAATGCAATTTTAATTCACACTCCAAGTGATTCGGAGACATTTTCAGGCTTGAGAGTAACAAATCAAGAGCTTCATGATTAGTGGTATACATGTGATATGTCTGTAAAATGTATGAGATAAATAATTACTTGGTATGTATGTTGAGATCTGAAGGCTCTGAAGTGGATTGCTACATGTGATGAACACTTCTGTTTGTGGACCATGCACGGTCTGCAGAGAGGTGGCAGAGTTAGTCCTGAGGAAGTAATTCCACAGAGCAGTAAAACCTCACATGGCACCATTGACGCTGTCCTTGGTTCTGATTTAGCTTGCTGCTGTATTTCCTGCTCAGAGTCCCTTCATGGAGCCTGCCAAGTTTTGAAGCTCGAAATTGAATGACATGTTAGCATTTACCATGAGAGATCTGCCTGCCTATGGGGTCTCATTTCAGTCACATTGGCTAGCCTCTCCTAGAAAAAAAAAATGGAATTTAAGTGTAATGGTGACACATTAAAATGAACATGATGATAACAAATACAATTGCTGTATACAGAATAAATTGAATAGTGAGGAACCTGAAAATTACCTTAAATATTCAATATTTTGGCACTTGGGCCATAAGATTTGAATTAGGATAAGTGTAGATGTGGTTCTAAAAACTGATGAATAATTTAGGCATCACCATCAGTTAAAGAAATATTTTAATAACTAATTGTTGGGTACGGATCAAATTTTTCTACAATTTGATGTCTGTCTTTTCAAAGTAAAAATCTATTTTGGGTGTGTATATGAACTTTTACCTGAGAGCTTTTGAGCAAAAATAAGTGTATATCCTCTCCCTCTTCCCTTTTCTGTTTATTTTATCATTTGATTTGGTGTGTACATGCATGTGTGCGTGCGTGCGTGTGTGTGCATGCATGCATGCACATGTGTGTGTTACATGCATGTGAGTATATATGGTCATGTGCAATTATGTAAACCAATGTGCACACATGTGAAATCCAAAGCAAGATGTCAGGTGTCTTCATCTATTGTTTGCCACTTTTGCTTTGAGACAGCATCTCACTAAACTGGAAGCTTGCCTTCTTGTTCAGTGTGTCTGACCAGGGAGCTCTTGGGATCTGCCTGTCTTACCTACCAGTGCTGGGGTTACAGGCACTCACACCCAAGCCTGATTGTTCTGTGGATGTCACATATCTGAACTCATGCCTTAGGGTTCTTGTGCTTGCAAAGCAAATGCTTTCTCCTGCTGATCCATTTCCATCCTGCTTCTGGTACTTGTTTTTGAAGAACAAATGAACAGATGAAGATTGTTTTATGCTCTTACCTTGCTAGAGATAAGGTGGATAAAAACAGATTAAAAATATGGGTTAATTCAGAGCATGACAATAATCTTGACATAGTGTTCAGCTTCCTGGTGCTTTGAGGCATGGATCTACCTGTCATGAATTTTGGAAGCAAAATTTCAAGCGCATTTTTAAAAATTAAATGTTTTGCCCTTGCACTAATAGGCATAACAAATATCAGGGAAATGTAAAATCCAGGACCCTTTTTGTTAGGTTCAGAGTGATGGAGCTAAGGTGTCCTTGGCCACTGTGGCCATAGGAAATAGCAAGTTTGACCCTTTGACAATTTACTTATTGGAACCTCTGTTAAGTGATTAAATGGTCTCAGACATGGTAGAAACAAATGTTCTCCAAAACACTCTGCTTATCACCATCAACTCCAGCAGCCTTTCCTGCAGCTTTGTGCAGAACTACCGCTTCAGCTACATTGCATTTAACAAGGTGTCCTTTCTAAGAACATCAACTCCAGTAACTTGTACTGATTGGAAGTAGAAGAAAAGAAGTGCCATTAACAGCATGGCCCAGGATGGACAGACTGGAAGAGACACTGGAGCTGTATGCAGCATCCAGATTTTGAGATTTTTATTTCTCAGTTTCAAAAATACATGAACATAGTTTAGAATTACCCCTGCCTTAGAAAACCCATCTAAAATTAATTTTGTTGCCTCCCAAACACAATGAACTCTAATTCAAATGCCTCAAGGCATTTGAAGGTGTGGAGGATAGAGCCTTGTTGCCGTTATAATTTTTTCCAGTCTATTAGAGCAGATGTCTTTACCTTACCACCTCTCATCTCCTCTACTTCTGCCTGGGTTTTAGACTTATGCAAAGACAGATGAACAGCTAGCTGTTTGCTGATTGGAGAACTTAGCCACTCACTGTACAAAGGGTGCCTAATAGGAGTTGAGCAATAGCCTGTTATTTTCCAGAGGGATTCAACATGTAATACATAAATGAAGAGCACCTAGCTACAAAATTGATATTTTGGCATAATCTTATCAAATCGCTTGCTTTGTGTGACTTTTCAATAGACACCATGATTTCAGAGTGGTTGGGTAAGAAAAGGGTAGCTTTGTCATTCAGTGGGGTCTTGTAAATCTGTCATATGTTACTCAACTGAAAACCTATAATTCCATAGCTAAAGTAACCTGAGTAAAAAAATGTTTTCCTAGCTCCTTTCCTCAAGGAAATCAAAGGGGTAAGAAATAAAGGAGTACAGTGAAACATATTCTTTTCTCCTCTTACCTGAGTCTTGGAAGTGTTTAGAAACATTTCTATTGAGTTCCTTTTAAAATCCACTTCTTTTAATCCAAGCCAGCTGTTTCCTCTGAAGAGCAGCCTGGGAAAGAAATATTGTTTAGATAATCCATTCCCAAGCCCATACATTCTTGGGGTTAGCACTGACTGAACCCGTGAATGATTTACGCTCCTGTTTATTCCAAGACCTTTCTAGCTTCCCGTTAGTCTTCACCGCAAACACTACAGGATTTCCTGAGCGGCAGCACACATAACTGAGGATCCAGATCATTTGAACACATTTGTACTAATAGGCACTTTGTTGTTTGTTTATTTTAATTGAAAAAGATTGTTTTCCTTAGAATCACCTCAGTTTTAGATAGGGAGTATGTATTCTTATTTTTGTGTTACATTCAGATGCTTTAATTGCTTTTCCAAGAGTCAATCAAATCCCATAATTATAAATAATTGATGTTTCTCCAGAGCAGTTCTAAAGTGAGGCCCCATGTGGGGATATAAGAATAAGTAGCACCTAATAAAACATATTCCTTAGTATCACTTCTAAATCAAAGCTAAAGCATAGTCTCTAGAGGTTTCAGGCCCCAAAGAGATACAGGAAGTGGATAGAGTACAAAGAGGAAAGCAGAGATGGAATTCTTTCCTTGAGGCTCACTAATGCAAGTCCTTTCAATTGCTCTGCAAATTTGACCTAATGATCCTGAAATGTTTTGTTTAATTATATAGCACATTCCATATAAGTTCTGTAGATCATGCTAGTTTTGCACACAGAAAATTTTAACAAATTTCATATTCAATTTAGGTAAGTTTCTCATTGCAAAGTGTTGAAAATTAATCTGTGCATATAGGTGCTCATGGACAGATACTCTCCCTTGGTGTTTTGTCTCTGACCTGAAATTTTCATAAGGAAGTTCTGACTGTTGTAAGGAAAGCAGAATTGCAGAACCATGCCTGTTACATCAAGATCTTGAAAAATATGCACATAGCAAGGAGCAAATTACTAGCATGTTTTCTGGTTAAATCAAACACTGGACAGCTAGAGTTGTAAAAAGGGTTATAAAGTTTTTATAACCAGCAGTAAATACACATTTCTGTAAGGACTGATTGAAGAAGACAGTTTTCATTGCCAGTGTTTGGTTTATTTCTGGCTTCCCCATCTCTGCCTCACATCTCATGCAGAGATGTTTGGCTCCAGGTTTAGAAAGGTTGGAGGCAATTCTCCTGTCAGAAGCTCAATAGGAGGTGGGAACACATTGGCTTCTGCTCTATAGCATCAAAATGTTGGAAGGAGAGATTTCAAATACATACATACATACACATATATACATATATACATATATATATATATATATAATATTTGATTTAACTATTTGATACATGCGTATGGATTTTGATCATAGTCACCTCTCACTATTCCTGAGATTCCTCTGGGATCTATCTGGCACTACCCCCTACTTGCAATGTCAATTTCTTTTTGTTTTATAGCCCACAAAATAATGTTTGTGTTGCCTACATATTCATAGTGTGGATTATCCACTGGAGCATGGTAGATTTACCAGGGGCCACACCCTCAAAGAAAGCGGACTCTCTATCCCTCAGAAGTCATCAACTATCAACAGCTCCTAAGCCCAAGGAAGTGATTCAGGAGACCCTCCCACTGTTTGTTGGAATGTTGGTTGGCTTGACTTGTGCAGGCAATCACAGCTTCTACGAGTTTCTGTGTGCAGCTGACCTCTCCTATCCAGAAAACATTGTTTTTCACTCATCATCCTTGACCTCTGGCTCTTATAATCTTTCTGATCCATCTCCTGAAATGGTCCCTAAGCCTTGAAGGGGTGGGGAGTGTGATATAGTTATCCCTCTTACGGATAAGAATGTTGGGAGCTTTTTAAAACGTTGTAAGCACTTATCAGACCTTCCACTTACTTAATAAGCTACATTAAGTCTATAATGTCAGGTAAAAAACCATAGTCTTTGCTCAAGGCCTTTTAAATCATCCATGCCTCCATTCCTAATATTAGGCATCCAGAATGCAGGGGGGGAAATGTATTAGAACTGACAGATTACATTTATCAGCATCACAAAAAGTTATTGTTAGGACACAATGTTTTCAGATTGGCTCATTAATTCTTAAATTCCCTCACTCAGTCATCAATATAATCATATAATAATGACAGAGGTTCTACTCTGTATAAGGAGGATTTTACTTAAGTATAGGAGATATGAGCCCTTGAGTGCACAGTGGTAGATACTGTGTTCTTGTGGGAAGTGAAGCCACACTCTCCTGGTTTGTGGTCACAACTCTTCATGGAATCATAACTTTTACTTAGACAAAAACAATGCTGAGTAGGGTAAATGAGTGAAAACCAGTTGGGCAAGTATTGACTTATATCCTGGAAAATAACTTTTGCCTTCTCCAAGGAGTTTACATAGTTTTATTCTCAAAACTGGTCCACTGTTCATTCTAAAACTCTGATGACTGTCTGTAATTGAATAGAAAAGCTGTTAGAAGATTATGGATCTGCCCTCCCATGAATTTATCAAAAGCTTTGTTGTGAGAAGGTTCCTGAATCCCAAAATAATCCCCAAAATGCTGATGTACAAATGCAGCTTCTCAATTTAAAAAAAAATATTTTTTCAGTCTTTCTCTTTTACTTAAAAGTCAAGTGGATTTTGATCATAGTCACCTCTCACTATTCCTGAGATTCCTCTGGGATCTATCCAGCACTACCAGGTCATCTACTCCTTTCCAAGTCACTAACCATGACCACTATGGAATGATACAGGTGTTCCTAACATGTCTCAAGATTAGAGAAAATTCTGCATGAACAGTTTATGGCAAGTGTATTGCTCATACCGACAGCAGCCAAATGCTCCACTTATATGGCTGTATCCCATTTTTGTCTTCAGAGATGGCATTCTCTAAATCTTGATCACATATTTGGAGATTTCTTAATGACATAAGTTTTACCAAAGAATAGGTACTATTTTTATCTCAGAAAAGAAAGCTCTGATGTGACCCAGATGCTCAACAATATTCCCACTCAGGACTGAAAGTTTTCACACTAAGCTAAGGCTCTAGGACATGATTTGATGACATAGCCTTAGAGTTTAATAAGATGCCATAAAAATATTACAGTTTTTTTAAAAAAATAAGACATTATCCCTTCTAGTAAATGAATTTGTAATTGTATTGTGTTATTCATACATTGTAGAGCTAAAGCAAGAATGATGAGGTTGTTTTTGTTTGTTTGTTTGTTTGTTTTGTTTGTTTTAGAAATGCTATGAATCTCAGGCTGGTCTTGAACTCATTGTGTAGCCAAATATTATTCTGAACTGACCCTCTTACCTCTATCTCCCAGTGCTGAGATTACAAGCATTTAACATTTAAATCTGTTTTATGGGGATGTTGGGGATCAAATGCAGGATTTTTTTTATACTAGACAAGCACCCTACCTAGTTGGTTACATTCCCAGCCTGGTTGCACATTTCTAATATTTAATATTTATTTATATATTTAATCTCAAAATAGTTTACAGACCACAATTTTATTGTTGTTGATAGAGGAAACATGTATGTCTCAAGAATCTCAGAGATTTCAAATGTAAAGATACTGAAAAAAGGTTGATGAAAAATTGAAAACAAGATTTCACAGAAACCAGAACTGGCCTAATACCTAGAAAGCAGTCCACAGCTAAGTTGGTCACTTGTTAAAACATGCTAAAGTTCTGTTGTTCCATAGCTCTTGCTTTCTCTATCTGGATATTGTTTTCACTGTCTTTCTCTGTGGACTATCTTTTGTTGAACTTGTCCTCCTAGCCTAGGCATTTCTGACAAACTGATCGGCATCCTTCTAGCTAGTTTCAAGTTCCCAGTCTGGAGAATCCAGATGACAGCAGAGCCAACTGGTAGACCTTCCTTCCCCAGACCCTGCCACACTACTGATGTTCTGAAATCTATCATTTTCCTCAGTCAGTATAACACATACTGATCTCTCAACTTTTCTCTCAGTGGAATAACCCCAACGAGAAGCAGCACTAAAGGTGCATTACTTTCTTTGAATAAATATTCTCTCTCTCTCTCTCTCTCTCTCTCTCTCTCTCTCTCTCTCATTTATTCTTCTTTCATACATTATATCCTAACCATATTTTCCCTTCCCTCCCCTCCTCTCAGTCCTTCCCTGCCACCTCTCCTCTTCCTCAGATCGACTTATCCTCCATTTCCCTTCAAAAAAAGAGCAGGCATCCCAGTGATATCAACCAAATATGGCATAACAATTGACAACAAGACTAAGCACAAAGCCTCACATCAAGGCTGGATGACGCAACACAGTAGGAGGAAAGGGGACCCAAAAGCAGGCAAAAGACTCATATATACCCTCACTCTAATTGTTAGGAGTCCCACAAAAATACCAAGCTACACAACCATAACATATATGCAGAGGACCTAGCACAGATTCATGCAGGCTCTGTGATTGCCACATGCAGGCTCTGTGAGCCCCTACGAGCCCTACTTAGTTGATTCTGTGGGCCACATTCTTTTAACGTCCTCAACCCCTCTGGTTCCTGCTATCCTTCCTCCTCATCTTTTGCAGGGATTCCCTGAGATCCAACTTATGCATGGATGTGGGTCTCTGCATCAGCTTCCATCAGTTGCTGGATGAAGCCTTTCTGATATGACCACTTGACTAGGCTCCAAACTAGGAGTATAGCAGAATATCATTAGTAATCATTTCATTGACTTCTATTTTTTAATTGGTTTTGGAAAGTCACATTTGGTTCTATCTTAGATCTCTGGGTTATCCAGCCTCTGGTTCCACACCATCCAGGCAGTGTCAGGCACAGGTTTCCCTCTCATGTCTTGGGCCAATCTTTGGTTGGTCACTCCCACAATTTCTGCACCACCATTACCCCAGCACATCCTACAGGCAGACAGGTTGTAGGTTGAAGGTTTTGTGGCTGTGTTGATGTCCCTGTCCCACTGCTAGGAGTCATATCTGGTTGTAGAAGATGGCCAGTTCAGGCTCTGTATCTCCCATTATTAGCAGTCTTCAAAAGGGTCTAGTACAGGGAGTTTCCACTGTACTAGATTTTCACAACACCCTTCAAGTCCCCCAATTCCAGTAATTTCTCCCAGTACTCTCTCCCTTCATCCCTCCTGTTCCTATTCCCACCTGCCCTCAGTCCACTTTTCTTTTTTTCATTGTATATTTCTGATTTTTTTTTTTTTATCAAAAATCAGATGTCCGTAGGTATGGTATGTATTTACATCTGGGTCTTCAATTCTGTTCCATTGATCAACCTGTCTGTTTTATGTCAATACCATAAAGTTTTTTAAACTATTGCTTTATAATACAGCTTGAAATAGGAATGGTGATACCCCCAAAAGTTATTTTATTGTCCAGGATTGGGTTTTTTGTTTTTCCATATGAAGTTGAGTATTGTTCTTTTAAGTTCTATAAGGAATTGTGTTGAAATTTTAATGGGAATTGAGTTTAATCTGTAGATTGCTTTTAGTAAGATGGTCATTTTTACTATGTTAATCCTAGTGATCCACGAGCATGGGAGATCTTTCCATCTTCTGGTATCTTCTTCAGTTTCTTTCTTCAGAGACTTGAAGATCTTGTCATACAGGTCTTTCAATTGATTGGTTAGAGTTACCCCAAGATACTTTGTTTTATTTGTGGCTATTGTGAAGAGTGATGTCTCCCTGATTTCTTTCTCAGCCTATTTATCATTTGAATATAGGAGGGCTACTGATTTTGTGTGTGTGAATTAATCTTGTATCCAACCACTTCACTAAAGGTGTTTATCAGTTGTAGGAATTTCCTAGTAAAATTTTTGGGGTTGCTTATGTATAGTATCATATCATCTGCAAATAATGGTACTTTGACTTCTTGCTTTGCAATTTGTATCCCTTTGATATCCTTTTGCTGACTTACTGCTCTAGCTAGAACTTCAAGTACTATATTGAATAGCTATGGAGAGAGTGGACAGCCTTGTCTTGCTCCTGATTTTAGTGGTATTGCTTTGAGTTTCTCTCCATTTAATTTGAAGCAGGCTGTCAGCTTGCTATAAGTTGTCTTTATTATGTTTATGTATGTTCCTTATATCCCTGATTTCTCCAAGGCTTTTATCATGAAGGGGTGTTGGATTTTGTCAAAGGCTTTTTCAGCATCTAATAAGATGATCATGAGGGTTTTTTTTAATATTTCAGTTTGTTTATATGGTAAATTACATTGACAGATTATCATATTTTGAACCATCCCTGCATGGTGGATGCTCTTTTTGATGTGTTCTTGGATTCAGTTTGCAAGTATTTTATTGAGTACTTTTGCATCAATGTTTATGAGATAAATGGTCTGTAATTCTCTTTCTTTGTTGAGTCTTTGTGTGGTTTGGGTGTCATGTTGACTGTGGCCTCATAAAATGAATTTGGCAGTGTTCTTTCTGTTTATATTTTGTAATAATTTGAGAAGTATAGGTTTTAGCTCTTCTTTGAAAGTCTGGTAGACTTCTGAGCTAAAACCATCTGGCCCAGGCCTTTTTTTGGTTGGGAGAATTTTAATGACTGCTTCTATTTCTGTAGGGGTTATAGGTCTATTTAAATTGTTTATCTGATCTTGATTTAACTTTGGTAAGTGGTATCTATTGAGAAAATTGTCCATTTCTTTTAGATTTTTCAATTTTATGGAGTACAGGTTTTTGAAGCATGATCTTATGATTCTTTGGCTTTCCTCAGTGTCTGTTGTTATAATCCCATTTTCATTTCTGATTTTGTTAATTTGGATATTCTCTCTTTGCCTTTTAGTTAGTGTGATAAGATTTTGTCTATCTTGTTGACCTTCTCAAAGAACCAACACTTTGTTTCATTTATTCTTTGTATTCTTCTCTTTGTTTCTATTTTATTGACTTCAGCCCTCAGTTTATTTCCTGCCACTACTCTTCTTGAGTATGTTTACTTCTTATTGTTCTAGAGCTTTCAAATGTGCTGTTAGGTCTCTAGTACAAGATCTCTCTAATTTCTTTATGAGGGCACTTAGTACTATGAACTTTCCTCTTAGCACTGCTCTCACTGTGCCCTATAAGTTTCGGTATGTTGTACATTCATTTTCAATAAATTCTAGGAGTCTTTAATTTTTTTATTTACTTCTGCTTTGACCTAGTGGTGATTCAGTAGTGAGTAGTTTAGTTTCCGTGAGTTTGTAGGCTTTCTGTTGTTTCTGTTGTTGAAACCCAGTTTTAATCTATGGTAGTCTAGTAAGATACAGGGAGTTATTTCAGTTTTCCTGTCTTATGAGACTTGCTTATTGTCCAAGTAGATGGTTAATTTTGGAGAATGTTCCATGAGGTGCTGAGAAGAAGGTATATTCTTTTGTGTTTGGGTGAATTAGTGTCATAAGGTCTATTAGCTCCATTATTTCTGTTTAGTTTTTGTATGGATGACCTGTCCATTGGTTGACAGTTGGGTATTGAAGTCTCCCACAATTAATGTATAAAGTTCGGTGTATCATTTAAGCTTTAGTAATGTTTCTTTTACAAATGTAGGTGCCCTTGCATTTGGGCCACAGATGTTATGAATTACAATGTCCTCTTGGTGAATTTTTCCTTTGATAAGTATAAAATGTCCTCTATTTCTTATGATTAATTTTGGTTGGAAGTCTATTTTGTTGGATATTAAAATAGCTACACAAGCTTGCTTCTTAGGTCCATTTGCTTGGAAAATCTTCTGCCAACCCTTTATTCTGAGGTAATGTCTATCTTTGGTATTGAGGTGTGTTTCTTGTATGCAGCAGAAGGATAAATCCCTTTTTCATATCCATTCTGTTAGCCCGTGTCTTTTCATTGGGGAATTGAGAGATATTAATGACCAATTTTTATTGATTTTTATTATTTTTCTGTTGTTGGTGGTGATGGGTGGTGTGTGTGTGTGTGTGTGTGTGTGTGTGTGTGTGTGTGTGTGTGTGTTCATACATGCACGTGTGTTTCCCTTCTTGGGGTTTTGCTGGTGTGAGATTATTAATTGTCTCTGTTCATGGGTGTAGTTAACTTCCTTGGGTCAGAGTTTTTCCTCTAGTGCCTTCTGTAGGGCTGGATTTGTGGAAAGATATGATTTAAATTTGACTTTATCATGAAATATATTGTTTTCTCGATCTACGGGGATTGAAAGTTTTGCTGGGCATAGTAGTATGGGCTGACATTAGTGGTCTCTTAGAATCTGCAAGACATCTGTCCAAGCCCTTCTGTTTTTTAGAGTCTTCACTGAGAAGTCAGGTGTAATTCTAATAGTTCTGCCTTTATATCTTACTTGGCCTTTTTCCTTCACAACTTTTGATATTCTTTCTTTGTTCTATATGATTATTATGTGGCATGGGGACTTTTTGTATGGCCCAATCTATTAGGTGTTTTGTAAGCTTCTTGTACTTTTATAGCCATGTTCTTCTTTAGATTAGGAAAATTTTCTTCTATAATTTTGTTTAATATATTTTCTGTGCCTCTGAGCTGGGATTCTTCTCCTTCTTCTATTCTTACTACTTTTATGCTTGGTCTTTTCACAGTGCCCCAGATTTCCCAGGTGATTTGTGTCAGGAATTTTTTAGACTTAACATTTTATTTGACTGATTAATCTATTTCTTCCATTGTATCTTCAACACCTAAGATTCTCTCTTCCATCCCTTATATTTTGTTGGTGATGCTTGTGTGTGTGGTTCCTGTTCACTTACCCAGGTTTTCCATTGCCAGAATTGGTTCCAATTATGTTTTCTTTATTGCTTCTATTTCAATTTTCAGTTCTTGAACAGTTTCTTTCACCAGTTTGTTTGTGTGTTTGTTTGTATTGACTTCCTTGGTATTTTCTAAGGAATTTATCTCTTTCCTCCATTTTTTTGGTTTTTTTTTTTCCTCAATTTAAGGGATGTTTTTTCAATTCCTCCATCTTCACAAAGTTGGTTTTGAGGTTGTTTTCTTGTGTGTCAGCTGTGCTGGAAGGTTCATGTCCTGCTATTGTAGGATAACTGAACTCTGATGGTGCCATATCACTCTTTCCTGTTGTTGTGTTCTTACATTAGAGTTTACACATCTGGATTTGGGATGATTGTAGGTCTATGTGTTGATTCCTGTGTTTGTCTTTGTTGGATGTGTGTTTTGTTCCTTGGTGTCTGTTTCCACTCTAGTCTTCTGGCCTAAATGGCCAGGGGTTTTGATGATTAGTTAGTCATCAGGTCAAGTAGGGTATCTCCACTGGGGTTTTGGGGGCTAACTTTGCCTCTGTAATTCCAAGTACCTATATGGCCTCTGATGTTCTGGGTACCTGCTTGGTCTCTGAGATTCCTAGTATGGCATGGTTTTCAGTATAGCAGAAGTTTTCTGCCAGGGTTGTTGGCTGAGATATGTAGCTAGGGATGGGGTAGGGGAGCACAGTTGAGGGCTATTGGGCCAACTTTGGGGAGTGTTAGCTGGCTGTGGACATTGTCTTACCTGAAGTCCCTAGGACAAGTCTGGCTTTTGATAAAGCAGCTGGAGTTGTGATCTGGGATACAAAGCCTAGGAGAGAGATATTGGGCACGTATTAAGGAGTGTTGAGGATGGTAGGCTGTGGTATTTTACTTAGAGTCCCTAGAATTTGACTTTCCTCAGTAAAGCAGAAGTCTTTTGCTGAGGTTGTGGACCAGAATGTGGACGCCAAAGAATGGGTGCTCAAATAATGGTTCTTAATCATTGTATGTCTTTCAGCTAAAGTGGTTGTAGTCTTCAAATGGGACTACAGCAAGAATGGAAAGAAATTAAGCAGAGTAAGACTAATAGTTACATTTGAGTGTCAAGGAAGAAACAGTAAGGGAATTAAAGAGAAGACATTCATGAAATGATAAAAGTAAAGAAATACAATCAAGGGGGGAGGGAGAGAAAGACAAAAATGTTGGTCCACATAATTAGTTTTAAATAAGGAGCATAAAAACTGAGGAAACAAGTGCTCAGAGTAGGCTTCTATATGCTAGCTCATGTGGTTGCTGGTGTAGAGTCTATCTTTATATAGTTCCTCATGTGGGCACAGTTGCAGAATCTGTCTATATAGTCATCACATGCATGTACATAAGTTCAATTTCTTTCTCTATAAGGTCCCTCTCAAAGGAACAGGTACAGAGTCTATATCATCTTTTATATGGATGCATGTGCAGAACCTACCACTATGCTTTCTTTTTCCCTTCCCTGACTACTTAAGTTAATGCCTTCCATGAGAGCAGAGACTTTGTGATATGATACCCCTTATGCTGATCTTTGTATCATTTGCCCCACAACAAAAGTTGTGTGGCTTGGGCAGTGGGCGTTACAGTTGCAACTATTTTTCTGTCTCTAGGAATTTGATAGAGCTGTTGGCAAGCTTTCTAATGGCATGCATCAGACCATGGCATCTTGAAGTACTATCTACTCATTGTCTCTCTTTCTAGAAGCTAGTCAATCTCACTCTGGTTTGTTTTTCTAAACCTGATTTTAAACTGAAAAGTGAAAAACTTTACAGTTCTGACTTAAAACCTCCCCCCTTATCTGTAGGTGTTCAGTAGGCCAGGGAACATAGTCCTCTTCAACTTTCCCTGAGTTTCCAGAGTAGACCATGTTGTTGTGGGATAATGCTTTTGTACACTGGTTTAATAAAGTGCTGATTGGCCAGTAGCCAAGCAGGAAGTATAGATGGGATAAGCAGACAAGGAGAATTCTGGGAAAAGGAAGTGTGAGTCAGGAGACACTAGCCTGCTGTCCAGGGAACATCAAGTAATGGCACACAGGTAAGGCCACAAAACACATGGTGGCATATAGATTAACAGAAATGTTTTGAGTTTAAGTGTAAAAGCTAGTCAATACTAAGCCTGAACTAATGGCCAAGCAGTTATAATTAATGTAAGCTTATATGTGCTTACTTGGGGGATGTGAGTAGGAGAGATTTTCCCGGACCACCGGCCAGCCAGGACACAGGAAAACTTTTAGCTACACCATGTAGAAAGAGACCTGTGCCTGAATGGTAGCCAACTAGACAACTGAGAAGAAGTTTTCCATGGAAATGGATACAATTGGAGAAGACCATTGTAAGTGAATAATAGACACAGAAAGACAAATATTATATATTTTCTCTTATTTGTGAATCCTAGATTTTATATAAAACTATGTTTGTACATATAGCCTGAAAGTTGAAGTGAGACTGTCTGTGAGCATGAAAAGAAATAGTAAGAGGGATGAGAGAAAAGAGAAAAGGAATGTAGTGGGAAGAGGAGGGCTGTGGATTACTTCATATATCCATTATGAAACCAAATACAGTAGGCAATGAACATATTGCAACAGCCAATTGTAAAAGAACCTACATAAATACAACTTAAATTAAAAAAAAAACAAATAGGATGGTGAAATGGCTCCACAGTTAAAGGAACTTGCCACCAAGCTCAAAACCTGAGTTCCATGCCCAGTTCCCACATGGGAGATGGAGAAAACCTATTTATATTGGTTGTTCTTTGACTACCACATTCATGTCATGACCTCTGTCTCTCTGTCTCTGTCTCTGTCTCTCTGTCTCTGTCTGTCTGTCTGTCTGTCTCTCTCTCTCTCTCTCACACACACACACACACACACACACACACACACACACACACACACACACACGAATGAATAAATAAATCGTAATGAAGTAATTTAAAAGACAAATACATGCCGGGCGGTGGTGGCGCACGCCTTTAATCCCAGCACTTGGGAGGAGGCAGGTGGATCTCTGTGAGTTCGAGGCCAGCCTGGGCTACCAAGTGAGTTCCAGGACAGGCTCCAAAGCTACACAGAGAAACCCTGTCTCGAAAAACCAAAAAAAAAAAAAAAAAAAAAAAAAAAAAAGACAAATACATTTGGGACCAAAAAAGTCTTCTTGCCATTGCTTTGGTTGAGTGCTAAAAAGGTTTTGTCACCTGTAGTATCAGACTCCTCTCTCCTTGGGCTGTACCATGTACAATAGTCCTTCTCTGTCCAGAAGACACTGTAGTCATCCACCACTTCATGCTTTTATACTCTTTCTATTGCCCTTTTCCACCATGGTTGCTGAGCCTTGGAAAAAGGAGTTGTTCCATTTATGGCTGATCATTCTTTGGTCCTTTACTCTATGCACCTTGGCCACTTTTGAGTCTCTGTGCTAATCACCGTCTGCTGCAAATAGAAGCTTCTCAGATGAAGGATGAAAGATACATTAATCTCTGGACATAATGATAAGACAGGTTACTAAGAGTCAGTTTAATATTTTGTCCACTTAACAGAATAATGGTAACAGATTCTCTCATTGGGCCTAAAACTTGTCTGGTCACAGGTTCTTGGTCTAAAAATGGTGCCAGGTATGGGTAACATGTTCTTGGAGTAGTATATAAGTCCAGTTAGAAAGTGGTTAGTTATTCGCATCATATTTGTGCTAGTAATGCACTAGTGAGCATGCCTTGCCAGGCCAGTTATTATTGTATTTCCCAGGGTTCACAGCTGGGTACAACTGGTGATTACTCTTCTAGTAGCATCCATAGCATGGCACCGCCCACCATGATGAAAACTAGTCAGAAGGGTCACAGCCCAGTACTAAACTGATTTTTCTATGTTCTGTGACTGAAGTCCTTAGTGTCTTCAGCAATAGGGTCTACCTATCAAGTTTTGGAGGGTAACCAGGAACAATGGAAATAGCTTGTCATGGTTGGGCTTCCACAGATTTCACTGGCCAACAACTCCAAAAGAAGCAACCTGTTCTTGGCACTGGCTATTTGTTATCATTGATGTCTAGTAGAGGCATTACTCTCCATGTCTTAGTTAGGGTTTCTATTGCTGTGACAAAACGCCATGGCCAAAAGCAAATTGTGAAGGAAAAGTTTATTTGGCTTACACTTCCACATGCTGTTTATCATTGAAGGAAGTCATGTCAGAAAATCAAACAGAGCAGGAACCTGGAGGCAGGAGCTGATGCAGAAGCCATGGAGGAATGCTGCTTTCTAGCTTGTTCATCATGGCTTGCTCAACCTGCTTTCTTATAGAACCCAGGACCACCAGCCCAGAAGTGGCACCATCCACTATGGGCTGGATCCTCCAACACCAATCATTAATTAAGAAAATGCCCTATAAGTTTGCACATAGCCTGATCTTATGGAGTCATTTTCTCAACTAATGCTCCCTACTCTCTGTTAACGGTGGCTTGTGTCAAGTTGACATGAAATTAGCCAACACAGTCCAGTTATAGAAAGAATCCATTTTAACTATATATGTGGAATCTTCTACAGTAGTAGGTTCCCCTATGGTTTTTTTCAAAAGAGATTAGTGTCATTATTTCTTCCAGTATTCCTCCACCCTGACCAGTTCTTACACTCCAATTTATTACTTCCTGTTTTGTCATTCACTTTAACTCTCCAACCTCCCTTGACAATTCCTCCTTGTGGCCCCTTAGTAATTTTCTGACCTCTATGCATATTCTGAATGAAACACACACAGTTGAAGATTCAAAGTTAACAACCGGATGTTGTGGATATAGAGGATATTTTTTCTTTCTCTTTGTTCCTTTCCCTTCTTCCCATCCCTGTGTGTGTTTTTCAGTCTCTAATCTTTTTTTGTCTGATTTCCTCTTCTTCTCCTACTTCTCCCCCTTTCTTTCAAATTATGTGATATGAAAATTAATGTGAATTTTCTGAGTTTCTCTCTTTAACCCATGGTTAAAACACATCCTAGTGGGAGCCGAACCCTCCAGAAAAGACTCTAGACTCTTTCTCCTTCCACTCTGCTTTCTAAAAAAGTTTATTTTGTTGCTATGGAAACCACTTCTTTTCTGTCGTTACCCACCTCATAGGACAGCTGCTCTGAAATTCTCTTCAATTCATTCTCTAGAGACTCTAGCAGGATGAACCTGGGTGACCTCTCTGTCATCTTCCAAAACCATGTGAATATCTCTAATGTTGAAATGGAGCACAATACCTATATATCAATTTAATGTTTTAATTAAATCTTTTCAATTGTTTAATGAGCTTCAATTAATTGACTTTATGAGTTGAGTTTTAAACTTTTGGTGAAATAATTTTATGTTTTGAAATGTTATATCATTCATTGAAACTAGCCAAACAGTTCAAGAGAAGCCTAAAGAAATAATTATTACAATGTGTATGGGTTAGCTCACAAGTACAGCTATCTTTTATTTTATTATCAGATTTAGTAATTTTATCTCTTGCTAGACATTTTTTTATTAATTTTTAAAATTTATTTTATGTATCAACTACACTTTCTTCTCCCTCCTCTCCTCCCGTTCTCTTCCTCTACTTCCCTTCTACATCCCCCCCCCATCCACACCTTCTCCATCTCCATCCAGAAAGGGGCAGACCTTCCCTGGGAGTCAACACAGCATAGCACAAGTTGAGGCAGGACCAAGCTCCCCCTGCATCAAGGTTGGACAAGGCAACCCAGCTTGGCTATTGGATTCTCAAAGGCCAGCTCCAGTGTCCTGATCCAACTGCTAGGAGCCTCACAAACAGACCAAGCTACACAACTGATACACACATGGGCCTACGTTGGTCCCATGTAGGCTCCCTAGCTGTTGGTCCAGAATCGGTGCACTTTCACTAACTCAGGTCAGCTGTCTCTATGCACCAATCATTTTTAACTAAAATTCAAACTGAAAAAGTCAACAAGAATGTTGCAAAAAAAAAAAAAATAAAAGATCTGCTTATAACATTTTCCTTCTGAAAAATCATCTTTGTTGCTTATAGGAAAACACCTTCCCCATACACAACATTAAGACCCTTAAAGACTTATCAATGTGACTTACTAGTCTTCTCTCCTGCCATTCCTACTCTGGCACCTGTAACATAGCCAGGCTGCTATGTCCCAGTCACTCAAGGCTATCGGACACTCCACCAGAGATAGTTGTCTTCTTAACCTCCATCTGTGAAATCCTCCTCCATCCCACCAGCAGCTTCTTACCTGTCAGGGACCAGCTAAGATGTCAGTTCTTCGACAAGCTTTCTGTGATTGCCCCAGGCCAAGTTATTCACTTTCCAATTAAAGCAACAGCAACTGTATATTATAATTACTTGGGTATATGCCTGGAACCCCCACTAAACTGTGATCTTCCTTGAGGGCAATGACCTGCTTGGATGCATTTCATCGTCAGCATCTAGCACAAGGCACACATATGCTCAAGACATGTTTACCCTCATGTACTCATAGATGGCTAAGTGAACACATAATGAATGAATGGAAGGGGCTAGTGCATGAGTTCATTAACAACAAATAAATGGACCTACTGAAAGTCATAGTATACTTTATTAAATCATCTGGATTTGAGAAGACTTCTAATTTCTAACAAGTAAGGTATTGAGGTATTAGGTTAACTTTGTTTCTATTCCTACAAAGTTGCCATTAATTTATTGATAATTTCTCAGTAAAGTTAATAGATCAGAGTTTTAAATTTCTTTGTTCATCTCTGATCTAGTTATTTTGCTTGTTTGATTTTCCCAGGCATAATTTAAGATACTCGGTTCATTTAGTTCAGACACAGACATGTTCAATAAGATAGTATTTACAATAATAAAAATAACATTATTTTGTATATCTTATATGTTTCCAAACCTTAGAATTAAAAAAGTATTTTTTCCTTTTATTTTATTTTATTAACATTTTTTGTTTATTTTACATACCGATCATGGTTTCCCCTCCCTCCTTTCCTCCTACTCTCTTTCCCCTCTTCTACCCTTGTCCCCTTCTACTCCTCCTCTGTCTCCATTCAGAAAGGAACAGGCCTCCCATGGGTTTGAACAAAGAATGGCATATCAAGTTGAGATAGGACCTAATAAGCTCCTCCTCCTGCATAAAGCCTGGGCAAGGTAATCCAGCATGAAGAACAGGTTTTCAAAAGCCAGCTAAGTGCCAGGGACAGGTCCTGATCTCAGTGCCCTACAAACAGACCAAGCTACACAGCTGTCACACATATGCAGATGGCCTAGGTTGATCCCATGCAGGCTCACTAACTATTGGTCTAGAGTCCATGAGCTTTCATGAGTTCAGGTCAGTCAGCTGTCTCTGTGGGTTCCTCCATCATGACCTTGACCCACCTGGATCATACAATCCCTCCCTGCTTTCTTCTGAAGGGCTCCTGGAGCTCAGCCCAGGGCTTGGCTGTGGATCTCTGCATCTGCTTCCATCAGTTACTAGATAAAGGCTCTCTGATGACAATTAGGGTAGTCACCAATCTGATTACAGGAGAAGGCCAGTTCAGGCACCCTCTCCACTATTGCTAGGAGTCATAGCTGGGGTCACCCTTGTAGATTCCTGGGAGTTTCCCTAACCCTGAAATGCCACCCTCTCAAGACATCTGTTTCATTACATTCCCCCTCAGTTCCACCCCCAACCCTTTTAACTTGCTGTTTTTTTTAAAAAAATGAGAATTATCAGTTTTAACATTTTCTCCTAGTTGACTTCTTAACTACTTATATGATTAAACAGTAGAATGGAATAGACCCATGTTCTATTGACCAAGGGAAAAATTATTCTCTCTCCATGTGTCCATGAAAATGTACACCTATATTTACATCTTAGTCCAGTCTGCCGTCAATGGTTTTGTGTGATGTAAGCTGGTGGTCTCCAGGAGGCCTTAAGTCACAGTGCAGCTCTATATTACTGTCACTTGTTCATGCACAGGCCAGCATGGTGACACAGTGGCCTTATTAGCTTCCTCATGCAGCATTAGTTCTGAAGAGGGTAATTTTCATCACAGTGCCACATATACTATCTTTCTAAGTAGAACACTGTGTAACTATGGGCTATTTCTAACTCTCCATGTATTTTATCAATTTTAACTCCTTTTGATTCAGCTTCTAGTTTTCATAGCAATCTGTTACTTGATTTGATTTTAAAAAAACATTCAAGGGATTTTCACATTGTATTCACCTGTCCTGCTTGAATTTCTACATGAGAATTTCAATGACAAGCATGCACCATTCCCTGATCTGGAACATGTAATCAAACAAAAAGGTTATCCAAGGCCAGTCCTGATTTTTCACATTATGTATGGGGAACTGGAGTAACACCCAAACCCATGGTGTCCTCATAGAAAGGACAGAACAATGTGAGATTTTTGAACAGATCAGTTCTAGTTCTGAGAATGCAAGAGCTGCTTTTACTAAGCACCTATTGTGTGCCCATTGTGAAGATAACACTACATAAATCAATGCATTCATTCTTCACAGTAATTCTGGGAGATGGCATTTGTTCCCATTTTTTTTTTAGGGAACTATAAATTCAGAGAGACTGAATGATGCATTGTAGACAACAGGACATGGGAGGCAGAACTGGATTTAGCTTCACAGCTACAACAGATCTTTTGAAAGGAAAGATTTGAAACAGGAGAGAAATACTGCTGACTGGTTCACACAGGTTCCTAGTTATCTGAAGGTGTCATTGTTCCTAGATGTTTTTAGAAGCAGAAATGGCAGAGAAGCTGACAGTGTGATGTTTTCAGTCAGATCACCTAATCTGAGATCCTGGTTTCTGCTCATGTCAATTGAATTCTATGTGAGTAAATCAATTATTCTGAATCTCAGGATCCATGTGGATCTCTCTCTCTCTCTCAGTGTGTGTGTGTGTGTGTGTGTGTGTGTGTGTGTGTGTGTGTGTGTGTGTGTGTGTGTGTGTGTGTGTGTGTGTGTGTGTGTGTGTGTGTGTGTATGAATATGTACATATTCAGGAAGTTCTCACATTGACTCTTTGAATTTGGTATCTTCTAATCAAGACTATGAAACAACTTTAAGCGAGACTGCCCTTCCAGGCACTTCCCCTTAATTACCCACTCATATAAATCACAGCTTTCTGTCTGTCACTTTCAAGGGCCCACTGTGAATGCAAACCAGGTGACTATGTGGATATGTTGGAAAATAAAGTGACAGAACATACCTGCGCTTCCATTTTGCTCAGGGCAGTGATTATTAATGTGCAAAATCCGGAGTGATATGGTGTCCAGAGTTTCAGCAGAATTTATTGCTTACAGCTTTAGCGTCCCCTGGCCTTTACCAGCTGTTTCACACCTGGACATGGAGAACAGAAACATCCCTCTTCAATTTATCTTTCCTGGACTTGTTGCTTATGGGACTCAGATGCCAGGTGACAGGGCTGGGAAGCAGCAGTGAGTGTCTCCACCTGTGCAGCACTGAGCTCCCCCAGGAGCTCTTGTTCTCCATGTGGTGCAGACACCAGCTTTAATAGTGAGGGAGAGCTTAAGTCTTGGAGGAAGTGAGTTCATGTAGGCTTGTTTTTCTATTATATGATCTTCAGTCTTATGTGCGATACATCGATTAAGGGAGCAAGATACTAGAGACTTTTGAAAGGCTCAAGGACTCTTTTGTTCCTAGTATGTATGTGCAGCACAATTTTCATCTCTGAAGGTCTTTCCTTGGATTTCTAGACTCTGGGAGAGCCTCCTGGACCTTGTAATGCTGTGGGCTCGGTGGCTACTCTTATACGGACCGGTACATCTGAGGCACGAGGGAAAGGTCATTCGCTTACTAAATGAAGGAAGAATGAGCAAGTTACCCTCCCTCTGACATCTAAGATGTGCTGCATTTCAGTAGAAAGCACGGGATGTGGACGGAAAAGACCTGGTGTTTAAGCCTCGTTCTGTCCTGTGTGGGTGTTGTGGCCTACAACAGCAAAGCTGTGGGGCTGCCTCATAGCCATCTCCAGAGTTAGATGGGACGCTTGTATGGGGGGCGGTCCTTCAGCCAACTTCCTGACATTGGCCCAGTTTTAGATAGATCAAGGCAACAAAGAAGATGATTTTTACATAAGAGAATATTGGAACCACACAAATTGAAACCAATCTTGGCAATATCAAGGGTGTGATTTTATTTTCATAGTGAGTAACCAGCCTAACCACTGTTTTTCTCTCCTTCTCAGGGTCAGCCTTGTCCACAAAAGAAGTCC